GCTATTGATTAATACTTAACTCTTTTGTGTTGTGAACGTGCTTCATGCCGATGGACGAACGTTTATGAAGCGTATGTAGTAGTTGATTATTGGCTTGATTATTGTTTCGTTGATTATTCGAGATAAAAATTGGGGAAATTTATTAAATTTTCTTTTCTTTTTCTTTCTTCTTCTTCTTTTTTTTTTTTATTGAAGATAGAAATAATAGGAAATTATTATTGGATAATGAAAATTAAAATTGGAAATAGATTGGATATATGAGAAGGATAAATCGCTTGAGTTAGTTAAAGCGATTCAGAGAGTGTTAAAGGAAGTACGATAAGAAAGAATAATTTAAGGAATGTTTTAAGTTCTTAAATTTTTTTTACGGTAATTTTAATTTAAATCATTTTTAACCAGAATTGTAATTTATTGTAAAAGAAATTTCGAATAAATAATCGAACAAAATTTTTATTATACGTAAAATTAAAATTATTATTAAAAAATTATCATATTTTATTTTTAAAAATACTTTATTGTTTTTTAATATTGTGTTATATAGTTATTTTATTTTTTGTCTATTATATTTATTAATATAATGTTAATTTTATCGTTCGCTCTGATCATTGAATTTATTTAAACTTCAATTTCATAGGTTTTTTTACAATCTAAACTCTAAAAAAATATATTATTTTTAGAGTTCTTGGGCAAAAAAATTGAAATTGTTGAAAAAAATTTTGTGTATCATCAATTATATCGTAATTAAATTCTCGTTAGAGACTTGATATTTTATAAATATTTAAACGACTTAAATTTCTCGCGAAATATTATTTATTTAATTAATTATCGGACAATAAAATTGTCGATTATTGTTGATATAAAATTCAAGATAGAAAGATAACATTTTCTTAGAATTTAACTTATTATTATTTGGTATTAGGTAGTTTGTTAAATATTTCGTTAAATCCTTTGTTTTTTTAATAACAAAAAAAATTACACAATTTTTTAAATTAATTTACGTATTAAATTATTATATAATTAAATTAAATTATTATATTATTACGTGAAACGCCGTGGATAATATAAATCGTGGCACAAGAACTGTAAATATCGAGTGTTATTGATATCGATTTAACGCAGTCGTATTCCGAACACCGAACGAAACGGTCGTGTCGCTCTTCGCTCCTCGAAGGAATATTATATTATTTAATAAAATAATTAGTTTTTTTTATAAATAATTATAAATTAATTAATTATTATTGTAAAAATTGTATAAATAAAAACACGTTATGGAAAAACGTGTTGCAAGTCGGATGCAACAATATTATATAATAATATTGCATAAATTATAATATTATATTTATTTACAAATTATTTTATTGCATTCTCTTCTCTTTAAATTTACAATCTTTTCAATTACAAAGTGCAACAATTAAGAAATAAAAAATTAATTTTATTTTTCAAATTTCATTAATATTATTAATAGAATTATATAAATGAAGGTATAGATTTTGATTATTCATATCATTATGTTTCGTATAAATTATATATTATTATTTAATCGTTACAGAAATCAACAATGCGTTTAGTATCGTAGAATTCTTTATGATTCGTGTACATTTGAAATATTTGTGCGGTGTAACGAGCACTTAAAGAGAAAATGATATAGAGGGAATGGGGGAAATAATAATACTCAAATGACTCGATGGTTTAATAAGCTTTTCGATGTTTCAAAATTTATAACGTGCTATTTAAGTTGAATATTTGAGAATGTTAACTTCTTTATGCTCGATATTATGATGTCAAATATTTCGTTTAAAAACTTTGTAAGTTTTTTAATTTTATCGTTTAAACTTTCTATCTATCTAATTTTAAATATTGTGCAATTTTGAAAAAAAAATCTTTTTAATAAAAAGATATACAATTTTTATTATAATAATAACATATTATAATTATTATTATAATTATAATATATTATATTATAGTATAATAAAAATTGTACATTTTTTTTTAATAATTATCATTATATAAATATTTCATATTACATTGCACATAATAGTTATGAAATAATGAAATAATTAATATATTTCTTTTCGATGAAACAAATCAAATAGATCATAGTACATTAAATCTTTTTCACTAAAACATAGTAAAAAAAATATTTTGCCATTGTTAATAATTAACAAAAAAAAATTTTTCTGTAAGTTCTAAAAAATTTGAAAAAAGATTTTGAGAAGAAATTTCTACATATCGAAACACAACATTTTTGCAACATAATACTAATTTAAATTAAATTTAAATAAAAAGAGAAAAACAAAAGAATCAATTCAACTCCACCACAGCTTCCATACATATTTTCCAACATTTCTACGAAAGTAAAACCAACACGGTTACCCAGATCATTCGAAAGACTCACTTCTAATTTGCCTTCGAATTCCACGGTTTCACGAGACCTGAACGCTTTCCCTCGACAAATCACGAAGCGTGACAGTCGCAACGGAGCAAACTAACGATTGTCTCTCGGATACGTGCACAGCGTGGCAATGATCAATACATATCGCGCGCAACTTGTCAAAGTCGAGCCACCGCGAGATCGTTAGAGGCATCACAGACTCGACTTCAATTATTATCCTCGAATTCCATCCGCTGTGTGTGTGTGTGCGTGCACGCGTATACGCTCAAGAAAACGCGTCTTCTCCTCTGTATATATAACGAACAATCGAAGCAGATACAGAGAACTCGAGTTCATGGAATGTTTCGCTTCTAAGAGGATAGATAGATAATGTCTCGTTCGATACGAGGGTACACCATTGTTTGTAAGTCTGGTCGATTCGTGTGCTGATAATATCTATCTATATGAAATATTTACGAAAGTAAATATTGAAGAATCAACGACGGTATTTGTCGCTTTGGGTAATTAAAATTATTTTCGTGTTTATTTCTATGTTTATGATAATCGATATATTTATTGTATGGAATATATATAGGTTCGTATGATGTCTAGAAATTTTTATAAAATCATATATAAAAGGAAAGAACGAAAGGATGAAAAGTAGTAACTAATAATAAGCAAAATTCTGGTGCAGGATAAAAAAAAGAGGTTCGATACTTGTAGAATATTCATTATGAGAGAAGAAAAGAATATCTAATCGTAAATTCCAAAAGCAATTCTTCTTTTTTTATAAAATTAATTTTTATTATTTAAAAAAAAGTTCCATTGGTTCCTTCGCAAAGGATTAAGTTCGTTATATTTTTTACTTCTCTCGATAAATATTATAAGTATTGAATATCTCGTTTTCTTGTTATTCTATGTATTGTTCGTATATCTGTGAATATCTATAAGTATGCATCTTGAAAGAACAAACAATCGAAAATGAAAACGTGCATTCCCGTTAATTTTTCTCGTACGGGAAACGAGTCGTGATTCTGAACCACAAAACTGGGAACCGGAAACCAGTGATTTCAATCTCAGTTCACCGGTTGCATATCTCGCGGTTAAATTAACGTCAGAATCGATGCGGTATAACTATCCTCGTATCTTTCCCTTTTTAATTATTATATAGCTGACTCGTCTGCTCGAATTTTTTTCTTTTTATTTTTTTTTTTGTCCTATTCTTTTTGTCGAAATAATTATATTTACGAATATGATGTGAGAAAATTTAAATTTTAAGAGAGTTGAGATACTTGCAAGAATATTGCATCACGAAAATGAATTTTTTAAAGGATGATTAATTTCTCTCTAAGATTTTTTCGTAGTGTTAGTAAAATTTCTCCAATTTTTTTTTTAAATTTTTGGATTGATATTTACAGAAATTACAGCATTTTATTTACAGAAATATATATTTTTTTAAATATTCATACGTTTAATGCTGCATAACTTTAATGAAATATCCAAATCAATTAATAAACAAACATCAAAATAGTATAAAGTAATAAGTTAACAGAGATCAGTATAATTGAAAATTTGTTATAAATCGTTTTGATTTGAAAAATTTTTCGTCTTTATCTCTCGTGTTCTAATTCTTAAAGACAGGAATATACGTAATGATAAAATACGTATTTTTCGATTTGAATATAAGTGATTAAATAAATTAATATTTCTAGATATAATATTTGATTGGTAATACGGTATGTTAATTGATAAAATATTCCAAGTGAAAGTTTAATGGACAACTATATCGCGTTTAGATATCAGAATGTTAAATATATTTATGATACGATAAAGAATAAATATTATCTTGTTACATATTTATACTCTAGAGCTAAAATGTATCTAATATCGTTTTCTGGAAAATGAATTATACTTGTTCAGCTTAAAAAATCGAAACATCGTTCCAGATTCTCGAGCAAGAAACCTATCCCTCCCTTATTATGTTTATAAAATAATGATTGCATTGTGTAAAAAACGTATACATAACAAAAAAAAAAAAAAAAAGAAAAATCAAGATCGATCATCGACGAATTCAATCTCATTTCTCTCATTTTATTATTTGTCACGATATTAGAAATATAAGACATCCCTGAAATCCTATAACGATAATGGACAGTAGTACTTGCGTTACTCGATCGCGAACCGTTTCGATCAGAAGTTAATTAACCCGCGTGCGGTTAGAAAAACGAAAATCCGCGGGCCGTTAATGACATATTGCTCGTCGCTCTTCGATTGGAAACAGATGGAAATCGGTTTTGCGGCCGGTTAAAAGAACCGTTACGAAACGTGTCGCGCAACCTTCCCTTGAACCAGGATCGATGGATCCAGTATTTCGTATCTCGTAGATATGGAAAGGCGTATAAACGCGTTTTAATGCAATTGGAACTACGACGTGGTCAATGACGCGTGCGCATCACGATTTAAATCGTCACGGTTGATCGAACTTGGATCGAAAGTATACTCGCGCCGATATTGATGTAGGAAGTAATTTCGTTCGTGTCGGTAACTCCATTGTTATTGACGGGATAAATCAAACAACGATTTTCTTTCTTTCTTACTTTCTTTCTTTTTTTTTTCTTACTTTTTCCAGAGCTCGAACCTCGGCCAGGAACTGTTGGACAGGGTGTTCAGGCATTTGAATTTATTGGAGACGGCTTACTTCGGGCTACGTTATCTGGATCACGGTAATCAGACGGTAAGAAATGATGTTTCTTGTCTAGGTTATATTTGATCGAAGTTTCAATACGGTCGAGTTTCATCCCTTCAGATTTACATAATTTCGTGATCATCGTTTAAAAAAATAAGTCTGGTATTTTTGATGTTAGTTTTCCAAGAAATTTTTAGTTTTATTGAAAATAATATTAGTCAAAATTTGATTTAATATAATGAAATATAATGCAAAAAATTTCACCATTTATAATATTTAAAATCAAAATCCTTTTTCAACATTCTCTAATATTCATATTATATCTATAATATCGTGGACCTCGATATTCAAGTAAAAATCAGATCAATTTGGAAATTTAATTTCCTTTCTGAATAAGATTTTCCAATTGCGCGACGCAAACGTGTCATTTCCTTCTCTATAATTAAAAGAAATTACCTTGGATTATCGAAATGCAATATCATCGACGCATACGATTTCGAATAAATCGATGCTAGACATCTAAAGAACAAGATATCGAATAATTTACCTTTTTAAATTAGATAAAAAAAAAAGAAAAATTAGATGAAAAATCGAGCCGATATCATCAACCCTCGGGCCACGGAGGAGAGGATAGAATTATTATTCACAGGAAATGTCGAGCTGTCTGTAATTTCCGGTCTGCTTGACCAACAGTTTCGTCGTAACTCTTACGGTTCGATCGATCGAGGGGATTAATTATTTAGGAGAAATGCTCGATTTTACGTGTATACGTGATTCGCGTATCTTTATAGCAATGGCTCGATCCAAGCAAGAAGATTGGAAAACAATTGAAAGTCCAGAAAGGAGATCCAAGCTCGGACGTCCACACCCTATATTTCGGTGTGAAATTCTACGCGGCCGATCCCTGCAAACTCATCGAAGAAATCACAAGGTAAACGAATTGAATTCATCTTCTTACACTATTTATCCTTGATATGCTTGCAACGCTATGTTAACAATTCGATCGTAAAGAGAATATAATGAATACAGATCGTTCATTACGAAAATAATATTATTTTAATTCTCGTATTAACACGTGAACATCTTGCTATTTACATTCACGCTTTCATTAAACTATTATTTATCAAACTACTAATTCAAATGAAATTTCGTTATCGTTATATTTTAATTCATCGTACCGCTTATTATTTCCGGCTCCACTTTGTTATTGTATTCAAAGTGAATCTAATTAATGTTGACGGAAATCTACATCGTAATTGATCAGCTGTGATTTAAGAATTAACGAACGAAGCAAATTTTTTACGATCCTTCAATCAATTCCGACACAGGTAACGAAGCGCATCAATGCGCATCGTTGTATCTGTGCGCGAGTCTGTGAGTGTATGCACAAAGGCGATGCACAACATGGTTTCATTACACCGTGAATACGAAATAGACATGATAGCACGTGTAGATAGATCTTGCGTCATCGGATTCTTCAAAGTAAAATTACTTTTACGTCGATCCTTCGTTCTTAAAGGAATTAAAAAAAAAAATTTTATAAATTTTCCTTATACATCAGCGATTTTCCAACCTACTACGCCTTTCTAAAAATTTTTTTTTTTCCGCGCCACCCTCTCTTTTAATGGATATAATAATATCAGACACGTATTACAAAAAAATACTGAAAATTACAATTAACAAAATAATGCAATTAACAAGATTTTGCCATTTTTAAAATCTTTCGTTCTGGATAATTTTTTAATTTAATGAATGTATAAAAATGTAAGAAAAATAAAAATAAACGTTACTTCACTGAATTTGTACTGTTACGATATAAAGTTTATATCGTATATATATTTATTTATTTGTAGATATTATGAACATTAATTTTTTATTAAAAAGTTTTGGCATTTCCTCTGAGAGAGATTGGAAACCGCGGTTATAATTTTTCAAGCGAAAATAAAATGAAAATTAAAAATAAAAAAAAAAACTTGTTGTTTCCAGCTTTGTTTTTTTGACAATTGAAAATTTATGAAAATTTGCCAATAAACCTGTTCATACGAATAAACCTAGAACACACGAATCTAAAATATAAAACTGAGATTTCATATTTCAAATTCTGTACAGAAATGAACGAGATAGCTTCCATAGCTCTTACTTTCGAGTTTCGAGAAGTTATCAAGGTTGAACTGTAATAATCAGCGGGGGAGAGATAATATGCCCATCTCATTATTGATATTATTTATATGCCGCTTGTAGTGCTTAGATATCCCGTGGCTCGTTCATTGTGCATTGGAGTCGAAACTGCAACCACGACAGGATCTCGACAAGCGTCCATCGATTGCTCATACTCGAGATAAAAGATGAACGCATTTGCATATAGATTGAGTTCGTTCGTTTCCAGAGACTTCACTTTTTCTCTTTCTCTCTCTCTCTCTCTCTTCTTTTTCTCTCTCTCTTCCTTTTCTCGATATGTGCATCGAATGATGTGGTTCTACTACTGAATCAGGTGAACGAATATCGTTTGTGGATTTCTCGTTTCACCACAAAAATCTTGAATAATGGTCGACAACTGCCATAAAGTACATGGACCGATCAGAATTTCTCTATGTTCAACTTGATTCAACGGATTGACGTCACGTAAGGAAAATAAATCGACATAAAAATAAATATCCATAAAAATTAGGATCATTCTTATTTTCAATGGTTTTTCGTTTTAAAATTTGAAACGGTATTCGATAATATATACATATACGTGTGCGCATATTATAGTTTTATCTATATCCTTTGACCAATATATTTTTGTAAATATAAAGGATTTATCAGAATCAATCAAACTTTCATTACAAATATATCTTTTCTACATATTTAATAGATGTATCCGATGTGAGTTTAATTAATAATAATTTAATTAAAAAAAATTAAAAATTATTTTTCGTTAATGATAGATTCAATTTCTTTCAAAATTAACGAGGATATAGATCGTTAAAGCACACATTATAGTGTCTAAATATCTTCGTGACTCACAGTACGAAACTAAAAAAAACCCCTCGTCGATAAAAGGAATTCGTGTTAAAATATCCGAGAAAAGAAAAGAAAACCGCGAACAGGCAGAAAGCTGGAATGCTTGAAACGCGATCTAAACGAAGAATGCACGAGGAGGGATCCAGAAAATCGGCTGGCGAATTCGAGTGAAAAGAAATCGAGAGAGAAAGAATATGTTTATCTAACTTCGAAAAATGAGAAAGCACATTGACAATGTTTTAATAATGCAAGCTGATTTATAGTCATTGTGATGGGCATCGACGTTGAGGCGTTAATGAACGATGCTTTCCTCGAAATTGTGTAACGACGAGAAAGAAAGGGGAAGAAAACAGAAATAGAAATTGTCTGAAGAGAAGAGAGAGAAGACGTGAACAGAATGTTCGAACAAAATAGATAGAAAATTTAAAAAGTAACTTTAGACATTGGGATAAACACGAAAATCAATAATAGTAATGGTAATTTTACATTAGCTGAAAGAAAAAGAAGATAATTGAAGTGTAAAATTAAATTGCTCATCATTCATTAAATAAATTGAATTTTTACATAACATATCAATCACTTCGTTTGAACAATTCTACGTGCACGAAGAAGAGAAAACGAAAGAAAAGGGAAGATTTCGAGGTCGCGCAAAAGGAAAATCGAGACGATGATTGGAAAGAGAGGAATCTTGAATCTTTTCTGGAAAAAAGGAATTTAAAAAAAAAATGGAATCTTAACGATTTCAAGATAATATATTGAATTTCTTGAAATGGATGTTGAAAAAGAAAAGAAGGAGGACGATATAGATATACGCGCGTCATTATTTGTGCGTCGAGGATGTAGGAAAAACGGAAGAACGATGGTAAATCTTAGGGAATTATCCTAAAAGGAATTTCTAAAGTAATCCTTGCATCAGTAAGGATTCAGGAAGAGAAAAGTGATAAAGCAGAGGGGATAGAGGGGAAGAAAGAGAATTATTCGAAAGAGGGAAAAGTCCCCGAGGGATTCGGTTTAGGGCTTCGAAGGATGCGGAAGATTCGCGCAGCCAGTGCGGGGAATTATTCATGTGTTAATAAACGGGATCGTGTATATCAAGAAAATGAAATAGAAAGGGAGTTTATCGTGCGACAAGCCGACTTGATGCTTTAAGCGAGAATATCGTTTGTATATCGAAGATACGAACCTTTCTGGAGGGAAGAAAAGGTATTTGTTCAAGGATATGAAGAAACGAAATTGTATTTCGTAAATAGAAGAAGAATTAATCTTGGTGATATTGTGATGCGTTGAGTATTAAAGTGGATGATTTATCGATGAATAATTAAACGATAAAAAAAATAAAAGTTTTATTATATTATCCAAATATTATAGAAACATTTTAGATTAAAATGTGAGAATTAATTTAAATAAATTCAATTTTGTTCGCGTAAATTTGGAAACATGTACCAATTAGAGAATAACGATTTAATCGCATAGTTTTATAAAACATCAAGTTTCTATACGTCATTTAACTTTTTAACTTAAGTTGGAAAGACTTATGTTATATAACTTTTATTTTTTTTTTTTATCCAAGATGTAGGATAACACAAAGAAAAACTTTTTATATGAAGTAGAAACGCCCATCTATTTTTTTAATAAATCGTTTCATTCTAATTAGTCGAATTTTAGCTAAAAAAAAAAAAAAAAAGAATTGGCTCAACTTCTTATAGAATTAATATTATAAATAATTTTGTATTAACTTTTATTAACTATAAATAATATCCAAAGAGATTTTCTTACGAACAAGCTTCTTGTCTCGCTATAAATAAAAATATATTGTTCCAACACGGTGATAAATCGTGTTTGCAAATAGGAGAGCGAAAAAAACAGAGGACGAAGGTGAAATATCCTCTCGGGGGCAGGTTGGATGAGGAGAGGAAAGACACGGGACAAGAGATTGGCAGGCAGAAAATGAAGAAAAAGCGAGGAGGAGAAGGAAGAAAAAGTGTGCTAGCGAAAAGGAATCTGCGTACGAGGGAATAGGCTTATGCGCGTAACGAAAGGGAGAAAGCGTAGACGAAGGAGAAGAGGCGACAAGTGACATCGGTGAAGCGAAGAAGTCGTGGCAATGGATTGTAAAGCGAGGGAAAAAAAACTACGAAATCCTTTTAACGATGACTTTGCAAGAGGAGAAATCGCGAGAGCAACGATAGTAAAATCGAAATTCAAGGCGAATCGTGACCGCAAGTTAACCCCAGTCGTAACTTTTTTTCTTTTTTCTTTTTATTTCCCCTCTGCTCTTCTTCTTTTTCTCCTTCTTCTTCTGTTCCTACTTTTGCTTCCCTCTTTTCGATTCGCTCTTTTCGCTTCGCTGTTTTTTTTCACGTGTGTCACATGTCATTAACCATATTCATGAAATACATGCAATAAACGTTTTCCTTTTTTTTTTCTTTTTTTTTTATTATTATTATGTTTCTTTCAGGATGAAGAGAGGAAAGGAAGAACTACTGTAAAGTTTATGTATTTTACTACTGTAAAGTATATAACAATATTAAATTGTTTTTTTTTTATTACACTATTGAATTTTATTTATTAGAAAAGAGAAACGAAGTTATATGAAATTAACTAATTTAGTCGAAGAAAAAAGTACATTTTTTCGTTCTCCTTTCTCATTTCGATATGATAAAAATAATATTTCTTTTCCCTTTGATTCACAGGTATCAGTTTTTCTTACAAGTGAAACAGGACATTCTGCAAGGAAGACTTCCCGTGTCTTTCGACTTGGCCGCAGAATTGGGAGCTTACGTCGTGCAATGTAAGAAATATAACATTTTTTTATACTAACTTTTAAATAATAATGCAGATTCTTTTACCGTACACATTACGTGATTTATTAATATTCGTGCAAATATAATATATTAATTAATATTTATGTGGATATTATTTATAAACTGTGTGTTCCTTGTGAAGAGAATATTATATAACAAAATTTCCTAACACTTTTTTTTTTAAATAATTGAACTTTCTAAAGTAAAACCAAAGTTATTATATTTCGTAAATAATAAACGGAAGTGTTAAGATTTTTCATAAAACTTTTTCTCTAAATTTACAGTTCTATACAAGATATCATCTTATTTGATAAGACTGCATGATTATATAATGACGCGAACAAATATATCGTTCAATCACGAAAGTAAAAAATTCTATCTTTTGAACAATCAAAATTCTCGTCTCTCTCTCTCTCTCNNCTNC